TCAAATGCTGTACTTTTGTTTTGGTTTTAAATTTCCACGTGCTCTGGTGACAACACCTTCCATTACAAGAATGTGCTGCACTCACCTGACAATATGGCTTTGCAGGGACACTATACTATTAGAGAGCAGCACCAGACAATAAGTAATCCAATGCCAAAATGCACACAGAAAGGGAAATGTTTGCTACTATGGTCGTATTCAAAATCACACAGGCCCTGGTCAGTTTTCTCAGTGGCTAGAGCGTCGACCTGCAGACTGGTTCGATTCCTGGTCCAGGGCACATACCTGGATTGCAGGTTCGATCTCCATCCCCAAGAGAGCCCACGCCCTTCTCTCTTCCTTCCACTCTCTCTAAAAATCAATGGAAAAAACATCCTTGGATGAGGATTAACAACAATAAAAATATCACACAGGAATGACTTTTTATTTTTATTTATTTATTTTTATTTTTTAAAATTAAATTATTATCTGTGTACATATCTTACCATTGCCCCTCCTCCCATACATACCCTCCCTCCCCAGAGTTTTGTGTCCATTGGTTGTACTTATATGCATGTATACAAAGTCCTTCGGTTGATCTCTTATCTCCCCCGGATCTCCTTCCCCTCCCTGCTGTAATTTGACAGTCTGCTTGTTGCTTTACTGTCTTTATATCTATCTTTTGGTTCATCGGTTTATAAGGAATGACTTTTTAAATTTTTCTCTCAATATATAATGTGCTTTTTATTTCTAAAGAATTTTAAGGACCTCTTAAACTCTCAACCCAAGTGATTATGGTGAGATGGAAAGAACATTAACTGATAATTAGGAAATTTACATTCTAAATTTGGCTCTTCGTGGATTTTGAGCAAGTCCATTCCTCTCTCTGGGCCTGTAAAATTAGGGGGTTGAACTTGATGATCTCAAAGATCCCTCTGGCTCCTAACTGTCTAAGATTCATGAAGCTCGGAAGTCTGGCTCCCTAAAATTCTGCTTGAGTGTTTCTGCCTTTGTCTTTGGTATGATAGACCTGAGGGCCCAGGAGCAGGGGTGGTTGGTGAGCTGACTAAGCCGAGTCTTGTCTTGTTTCTGACAACTAATGGTTGTTGGTGTCAATTCAACACCAGTAGGAATCCCTAGTTTGGGGTGCAGTGAAGAAGGAAGCTGTTCAGTGCAGACGACTGAATTGTGACACAGTTAGGCTTTGAAGGGAGGACGGCTGTGGAGCAGTCCAATGGTGCTACCACTCAATGATGACGCAGGACAGTTTGTGGAACACCATGGCTACCAGGGCCCTCTCTGCTGGATAGCTCCACTCAACTCCTGTCCTGGTCTGCAGAGACATCTTCGGTGTTTCTGTTTCCGCTCCAGCAAGGAGACAGTCAATGGTGGAAAGGCAAAGTGTGGTCCCAGAGCCAAAGGGGAGCTGGCTTATGTTGACAGAAGTCCTGCCCCTGGTCCCTGATGGGTCCTCATGCAAATGAGGACTCCAAATCCCTGCAGTTTGATTGGCCCCAAAGGCATTACCCTGATTGGTCTGTAAATATGCTGGTGGAGATACAGCTGCATAGCACCAATGGGATGGGAAAAGCCCCAGTCCTATTGGTTGAAATAGGAACTCCTTTTATAAAGGCTGGTTCAGCTGACAGGAACAGTGCAGGCAGGCACTTCAGGGAGGAGGCAGGCAGTTTAGTGCAGGCTTTTCCCTGAAGTGCAGTTTTCATGAGAGGTTTGCGGGTGTAGAAATGGCTGCTAGGTTCTGTTTTTTAAACTTGAGCCCAGTTAAGTCACTGAGGTATTTTCTTTCTCAGGGTCCACAGTTCCCATTGCCTAGAAGGCTGAGTGGTCACTCAGTGTTCTCAGGGGAGGCTCATGGCCACAGATGACCAGAAAGTGTGGTCTGGAATTGACAGCGGCACCAACTGCACCAGAGGAACTGACAACCCTCAGTCTGTTGACACATTAGTACTGCTGAGCCTTGGGTGACTAGTCCACGACTTGCAAAAGGAGTTTAAAACAGCAGGATTATTATGAAATGTTTTTATCCTGTAACTTGCTTCCTGTTTGCAGAAGACTCCAAGATGCCCTTCACCCCTTCACCTCAAACAGTGTCCCCCATAGGATCTACCCGCCAAGGCTAGTCCCCAGCTCTGAGCTCTTCCTATCGCTGATATTAACTCTGGCCACCAGAGGGCACTCTTGCAATGTGGAAACCAACAGTTCTCTGTGGCGCTTGGGTCTGCTCTTGGCCAGAACAAGCTGAGTTGCTGAAGCCTGTATGTACTCTGCTTAAGAGATTCTCAACTGTCCTGGCCAGTGTGGCTCAATTGGTTGGGTGTCCTTCGTGCATGGAAAGGTTGCTGGTTCGATTCCTGGTCAGAGCACATGGCTGGGTTGCAGGCTTGATCCACAGTGGGGAGCATGCAGGAGGCAGTCAATGATGCTACGCTCTCACATCAATGTTTCTCTCTTCTCCCTTCCTCTCTCTCTAAAAATCAATAAACTATTCTTTAAAAAAAAAAAAATTCTCAACCAGAGATGATTTCCGCCCCACCAGGGGATATTTCACAATGTCTGGGAAAGGTAGGGGTTAGGGTGGTACTATTGCTATCTAGGGCCCAGGGATATACTGAACATTTTAGAATGTACAGACAGCCCCTTACAACAAAGAATTTTGCTGCCCAAAATGTCAGTAGTGCCGAAACCGGTTTGGCTCAGTGGATAGAGCGTCGGCCTGTGGGTTGAAGGGTCCCGGGTTCGATTCTGGTCAAGGGCATGTACTTTGGTTGTGGGCACATCCTCAGTTGGGGCTGTGCAAGAGGCAGCTGCTCGATGATTCTCGCTCATCGGTGTTTCTAACTCTCTCTCCCTCTCTCTTCTTCTCTGTAAAAAATCAATAAAATATATTTAAAAAAACAAACGAACAAACAAACAAAGTGTCAGTAGCGCTGTGCTGAGGAGCTCTGCTCCACCTGTCTGTTGTCTAACATGCAGAGTGCATCCCCTGGAAACGGATGTCCTCTGGAACCGAGTTTTCAGTCTCCCGAATTCACCGCCCCCAAAGGGAGATGTTAGAACGGTGACCGTGAAGCATGGCCTGAAATGGGGGGGGGTCACACTAACCACAACCCACTGAGGAGGAGGGAGGGGGGGAAGGCCGAGGGCACGTTGTCTCCATTATGGGACCCTGTCCCTGGGGCTGGCCCCTCTACACTGGGCCCAAGCCCCGCTTTCCAGAGCAGACAACGCTAACTCTTGGTCTCCTCCACCTGGGCGGTTGTTGGAAAAGCCTTGGCGCTGGGCCCGTGGCGTTGGGAGGAGGCGAGAGGTCGCTTCGCTTTCTCTGCGCCCCCTGAGGTTGTTACCGGTGGAAGTGGCGTTCATGGGGTGCTGAAAGGAAGATAATTTCCCGAGGCCCCCATGGGAGGATGGGGTTTCACGGAAAGCTTTATGGGCGATGTAAAATCAGGAGGGTTTCCCTCCGAGGTCCCGTCTCCATCCATCTTGCCAGGAAAGAAGTCCAATCTTGTCTTCAGCAGGGCTAGGAGGAAGGCCACTGCCCAGAACTTCTGCTCCGTATTCAAGCTCCGTCCAGCCCAGCATCTGGCTGGCCTGGCTCGTGTTCCCACTGCAGCCCATTGTGCGTGGGGTCCGCCTCGCCGTGGGCATGCAGCTGCGTGAGGCCACGTGGCGGGTGCGTGCGGGCCATGTTGCAAGAGGGAAAAGGGAGCGGGAACTCTGGGGATTCTAACCTTCCATGATTTTGTTTTTTTGTTTTAAATATGTTTTATCGATTTTTTTTTTTTTTTACAAAGAGGAAGGGAGAAGGATAGAGAGTCAGAAACATCGATGAGAGAGAAACATCAATCAGCTGCCTCCTGCACACACACCCACTGGGAATGCGCCCGAAACCAAGGTACATGCCCTTGACCGGAATCGAACCCGGGACCTTTCAGTCCGCAGGCTGATGCTCTATCCACTGAGCTAAACCGGTTAGGGCTCCTTCCATGATTTTGTACATTTGCAGTGGCTCTACCCTCCTCACGGATGACCTTTTTTTTCCCCAAGCTAGACTGACAGACAAGCAAGCACCTTCCCTAGATCACCCCGATTTCATTGTGCATGTGCCCATCTCCCCCTTTGTTCGGTCCCTTCCTCCAGTGGTCTGCAGGGAATGGACCAGTGGCTTCCCGGGCAGCGTGAAGCTGTAGCTTCCACCACAATTAGGTAGTTATTAACATTAATCACAGGAAGAGAGCAATGGGGAGGCTGGCATTATAAGCATGGGCACCTGGGGTTTGGGTTCCTTGCTTTTATCAGTCTTCCCGTGGGCTGAGGCCTACCCTTGTCCTACTCGGGGTTTCTCCTTCCCATTCCACCCTGACAGTGACACGCCGGCCACGAGGAAGGACTGAGAGAGAACAGAAAGCAGAATGTGCGGGGATCCCAGAGACAGGGGGGAAAGATGGACAAGAAGGTCCTCTGTACCTCCTCGGCCTGCTCCTCACAATAGACAGTAGGTGGAGACAAATCCTGACCTGTTACTGACAAGCCTGGAGACAGGAGAGCAATATGCTTCCGTCACCATGGCATTTCCTTGGTTAAGCAGAAAACCCTAAGGTGTCTCCCCTTCCCCAACCATCCAGTGCTTCACTCCCTCACCCCATCACTCTTAGGACCTGGGGCTCAGAGCAGGAGGGACCCCCCGCCAACACCCTCCATCACCTCAGCCCCTTGGAGCTCTGCTGAGAGACCCGCGGCAGGGACCTGGGGTCCTTCCGTAAAGAAGCCCTGCTCACGGTTGTTCTCTCCTGGAGGCTGGTTGTCTGCCAGAGCGGCTGCTTTCAGCCTTTCTCTCTGGGAGGTGATGGCAGCGGGAGGGAGGAGATGGGTTGGCTTCATTTCCACTTCTGCTCCGAGACTGAGGCCCCATCCCAAGCCCCTCACTCTTCCCATCGGGAACCGTGGGGGCTGTTTAGGCCCAACCACATCAGAGGGCAGCAGAAATGTCAGCCAAGGGTCCAGCTTGCCAAGGGCATTTTATTCACGGTCTGCAGTAGTGTTACAGAGTCCCCCCCTTGCCCCACTTGCCTGGGTCTTGGGGAAATGCAGCTAGAAGGACAGGCCTGCATGCACGTCCCAAGGTCGCAGAAATCAGAGGGATGGAAAACAAGGATGTGGAGGGAGACTGGGTGAGGGGCATGGGCCCCAGAAGAGAAAGGACTTGCCCTGATATTCAGGGAACAAATCAATTCCCGATCCCCTTGCCAAGCTAGGCCCTTGATTTCCCCTCATGTGGGTAGGTAGGGGGTGCTTCCAATGATGGAAACCTTCTTCTCATCTCCCTCAAAGGAAGTTGAGATTTAGAATGTCTCCTTAGGCCCAGCCGGGGTTGCTCAGTGATTGAGCATTGACCTATGAACCAGGAGGTCTTGGTTTGATTCCCGGTAGGGGCACATGCTTGGGTTATGGGCTCAGATCCCAGTGTGGGGCATGTAGGAGGCAACCAGTCAATGATTTTCTCTCATCATTGATGTTTCTATCTCTCTCTCTCTCCCTCTCCCTTCCTCTCTGAAATTAAAAAGAAAAATGAATGTCCCCTTATTCTGAATATCAACTTAGTGGGATTGGAGGGGGCACCCTGCCTCAGTTTGCCCCATCTCCACACATGCTCCTTCTCTGCAATGCTCCCCACCTCCTCGGACCCAATTCCATCCGTTCAAATCCTCCCGCCATTTAAACTTAGTTCCACCCAGGGAGGTGCAGAGCCAGCAGGGAGGTGGGCAAGAGGAGAGATGGAGTTTGGGGGCCCACTTCGCCTCTTCCTCCTCCATTACGGAGGCTCCGAGGACCACGCCGCTTCAAAATTCTCCAAATTCGGGGACCGGAGACTTTCCTCCCCAGCTTTGGGTCTTTGCATCTCTGCCAAGAAGCCCTCCCAGGGATCCGGGTACCCTCCCTGCCCCCATCAGGGGGTGGGGCTTTACCTGCAGCCCCTCTGGCCTAAGGAACAAGAGCCTGGGCCTCTCACCAGCCCCCTGGCCCAGCCCGGCCAGCAGGGGAAGCCCAGGGAAATGCCAGGTGGCTGGGGGGCCCGGGGGCCCTGGGAGCAGGGTGTCTGTCATGGGGGACCCTGGGAGAAGAGGGGGCAAGAAGGGCCCTGAGAGGCGGGCCCGGTCAGAGAGGGGAAAGGGCAGGAAGTGGGGTGTGAAGGAGGGAAAACTGGGCCGCTCTTCCCGGAGGCTCCCCACATGGCAGCAAGGGCTGAGCAGGCAGCGGGTGGAGGCAGAGCCGAGTCCTAGAGAAGGAGAGAACGGGTCAAGAGAGCCCCCGCTCCTTCCCCCCACTTCTCCTCCCACCTCCCGTTGCTTTTTCCTCTCGCTGAAAACTTTCTCTGCCCAGCCCGTGTGCCTTCCCTTTTCCTTTGCTTCCCGTCTCATCGTGAATGTCACTTCCTCAGGGAAACTTCCTCAGATTCCCCCCAGCCTGGGCAAGAGCCCTGGTGGCTCCTCCTGACCCCGGTACCTCCCCTGCAGGGCCCTCCGCCCCGTTGGCGTCAGGCGGCCGTTTGTGTGATGATAGCTGGGTGTTCGGCAGGAACAGTCTGTTTTCTTTTCCTCTGGATCCAGCCCAACCTGGCCCCTGTGAAGGGCTCAGTAAAAGTGTGTGGAATGAATGAGTGAATGAAGACACCCTTTGCCTCATACCCAGCGAATCCATTCCTCACTCTCCCTGTAGCGGGGGTGGGGGGCGTGCTCGGGGTTTAGCTGGGCAGAGAACTGGCTGCAGGGCCTGAGGCTTGTCCTTGAAATTCTCAGGCCTGTTTCTTCACAAAAGCTCCTCTCCCAGGTAAGAACGGGCGATGTCATCAGTAAGAGGGGGCCACGGAGCCACCACCGTGCACATGGGCGGAGCCCGGTCCTCCTCTTCTCCGGCTGGCTCTGGCCCATGCCTCTCCTCCTCCAAGAAGCCTTCCCTCCTCCCAGTCCTTCCACATCTGTCCTCTTTCCCCAGGATCCTACACAGGGGCTCCCAGGCCGGGCTTACTGGCAATGGCGACATAGAACTTCACTTCACTTTGTATATTTAAAAAACACACCCAACAACAACAACAACAAAAAAAACATAGCACCAGTTCTACATTTTTCTTAGTAAGGCTATCATTTAACTAGGAGAGCAAGTATCAACCCAATGTGATCACACTGGTGGGGCTATTGCTGATAAAACCTGGAAAAACAAATTTGTTATGACAATATAACTGGTTCATTTACTATGTCTGAAGCTGGATCTATGTAGGGGAAAACAATAAAAAGTGATTTGTCACTTAGCCAGCATGGCTCAGTGGTTGAGCGTCCACCTATGAACCAGGAGGTTGCTGGTTCGATTCCTGGTCAGGGCACATACCTTGGTTGTGGGCTTGATCCCCAGTAGGGGGCATGCAGGAGGCAATCGATCAATGACTCTCATTGATGTTTCTGTCTCTCTCTCCCTCTCCCTTCACCTCTGAAATCAACTTAAAAAAAAATATATATATCGATACGTCATTAGGAAAATCATGGAGTCCTCTGCCAGAGGACCCTCTCCTGGGCCCCTGTCCTTTCCCAGGGTCCTGACATGAGGTGGAGTCTGCTGTTTTGCACCAGGAAGGTTGTGTCCCCTGCCCTCTGAGGTCAAGGCTGTGTGTCCCCTTGGAGAGCCACAGCAGAATAGGCACATGGAGGAGATAGTACTGCTTCTCCTCCACCCCTTCCTAGCACCAATCCTGCACCTCTGCCTCTGGCTCAGCAGTGAGTGAGGAACTGCTGGGAGCTTGCCGTGAGCAGAGAGTGAGTTACGAGACGGTGGGGACATGGGAAGCAGCTTCCTCTCTTGGCTCTGGGTGCTCTCATGAAGGTGGAGGTTAGGAGCTGGCACAGCCTCCTGGCATCACCCTCCACAGTAAGGCAGGGGCTGCTCCTGGTCCTCTGCTGACCTAGCCCTGCTCAGCATCCCTCAGGGCCAAGCACAGGCGTGTGTGTGTGTGTGTGTGTGTGTGTGTGTGTGTGTGTGTACCTGGGCCAGGGAGGTGCCAAAGAGCCCACTCCAAGCCAGGGAACACTTTTCCCGCCTCATAGTTTCCCAAAGAGAGAAGCTCTGTGCCCAAGGCATTCCCAGAGCCGGGAAGAGGTGGCTGGGGTGGAGGAACAGGGAGAGCTGTTCAGCTCCAGGCTGCCGGATGAGTCCCGGCAGGCCCCGAGCCGCCCCGCCCACAGACCCAGCTGCACTCACAGGGGCCAGAGCCAGGCATCCGCGTTCTCTGAGAGCTGGGACCTCTGGGCCCCCAGCTACACGGGGGCGGGGCGGGGGGGACCCTTTAGTCCCTTTAGTCCGAAGGACCCTTTAGTCCTAAGGCCAAAGCTCTATCCACTGAGCCAAACGAGCTAGGGCTCTCTGAGCATCTTGAGGACCTCCTTTCATCTCTGGATCCCCACACCTGATAAGTAGCTAGTGCTCAAGAAATGTTTGTTGAATGAATAAAGGACTTATATCATCCCTTGTCTCAATGAACTGATATTTGGTCTTGTTCAAAGTATCCACAGGAACATAGGGTCATGCCAAAAGGTTCTTGAAATCTGGTCCTGTCAAAAGCGTCTGCTCTTAGAAAATGCCCTTGGGTTCAAACAGCCCAGAGTGTTTATTTCTTACTTTTGATCTACAGGTTAATACACAAAAAATGCTGTCATGTTTTATCGGTCCAATAATAGTGTTGTGGCTGTATGGCAATGATCTTTCTTGCCTTAGTGCCCAGCTGGTCATGGCTCATGGGCTTAGGTAGAGCGGTCGGGGTAGACCAAATTTCTCCATGGACATTAAAAATAAAAATAAAATAAATAATAAAATTATATGTATTGTTATTGATTTCAGACAGGGAGGGAGAGGGAGAGAGAGAAACATCAGTGATGAGAGGATCATAGATCGGCTGCCTCCTGCACGCCCCACACTGGGGATTAAGCCCTCAACCCGGGCATGTGCCCTGACCCAGAATCAAACCATGACCTCCTGGTTCATAGGTCGACACTCAACCACTGAGCCATGGCTGGCCGGGCTCCGCGGACATTGTGGACAGGGCCAAATCTCAGGGACCTTTTGGTGTGGGTGTTGTGGATAGGACCAAATGTCCTGCTAGCATGGTCTCATGCTCCCTACCCCTGTGTTCATCCAGAAGGGTACTCCCCGCACCTGGTTAAGATTCCCCGGGCCCTTGCCAGTCCCAAGCACTCACGGTAGACACTGCTGCTGCTCCCCTTCTTGTCCTCAGAGGCCTCCGGTGGCCCTCGGAGGGCCCACTGTCGGGCCAGCTGCTCCGCCGTGGCCCAGTGGGCGAGCAGCATGCAGTGCAGGAGCTGCGGAGCGAGGAGCAGCAGGTGTGGGGGTGCGATCGGCTCTGCCTGGCATCCGTTCCCCAGGACTGACTGTTTCAACAACCAGTTGTTAAAACAATGAAATGCTCTCATAACGGCTGTTAAATCACCCCTCCTGCCCACATACGTGCCTTGGACTCCTGACTGAGACTCCCACTCATCCCCTGGGATCCACCCCTGAAGGCGTGACGCCCAGCACAGGGGTGTTTTAGAGCATCTTAGAAGAGTCAGAGCAGTGGTCTGCAAACTCATTCGTCAACAGAGCCAAATATCAACAGGACAGCGACTGACATTTCCTTCGAGAGCCACGTTTTTTAAACGTCAACTATATGGATAGGTACATTGTTATTAACTTAATTAGGGTACCCCTTCAATCGCACTGTATATGCGCGCCCGCATGTGGTATTTTGTGGAAGAGCCACACTCCAGGGGCCAAAGAGCCGCATGGGGCTCTCGAGCCGCGGTTTGCCGACCACTGATTGAGAGGGTCAGCCCTGGGCACCCAGGGACTAGGATGCAAGGACATTGGAAGCTGCTGGGCCCGTGAGGCAGGAAGGAGGGCTGGGGGCCTGCTGGGCAGGGAGATCAGTCTGGCGGAGCCCGGGGTTCGGGGCAGCCTCCATGCTTACCTTGCTCTGCACACCCACGGGCATCAGGGTTGGCCAAAACCAGGTGGGGGCTGGCATTGCCCGTACCCCCCATAGAGGACAGTTGACCACGATGAGCTTGCTTAAGTTGAACTTGTACGTGAACCTTTTGCCTTTGGTCTTGTGCAGGATCTTCTTATTGTAATAATATCTGGAGGTCCCAAGGATGAGAATGGAGAGTTGGCCCCAGGGACCGGGAATGCAGCCTGCGACCCAGCCATGTCCCCTCCCCAGGCCAGCAGAGCTAACCCGGGGCTGTTCCTGGAGAACCTCACATGATCATTTCCCAAGCCTTAGAGAGGCAGGAGGCAGGTGGAGTGCCAGAAACCACAGCCCTTTTTCTCTGAACTCTGCCCCATCGGTCACTGGGGCTGTCCTCTCTCACCTGAGGGCCCGGCTCAGTTTATCGTAATTCATCTGTGGTTTGCACTTCCTGCGGCCCCAGAGGCGGGCCACCTCCTCCGGATCCTTGATGACAAACTCCCCGCACTCTCCCTGCTGCCAGGCGATGATATGGCGGAACTCTTCCTTCTGCAGCAGCTCCAGGATGAAGTGCCACAGCTGGATCTGCCGGGAGCCTGGGGAGGACTCAGCTTTGCAGGCCCAGTCAGGGAAGGCCAAGCCTGGGGCAGAGCGGGGAGTGTGAATGCCTCCAGCGCCACGGCTGGGCCGCGGTGGGAGACCTGGCAGAGGCTCACCTGAGATCCAGGAGTTGCCTGCATTGGTGGGGACGCCCTCCGCCAAGCAGCTGCGGTGCATGTTTCAGTCTGGAACTGTGTCTGGGCTTTGGGGGAAAGAAGAAGGGAAAGGAGAAAGCAGGGGAGAGGGAGAAAAGAGGAAGGAAAAAAGGGAAGGAGATAAGAGGGAAGAGATGAGGGGAGAAAAGGGAGACGGAGGCAGGGGAGCAGGGTCTGGGACAGGAAGCTCCACGACGCCCCCTCCTCTGGGGACCTCCTCACTGGCCAGGAGTGTCCCCAAGATGCTGAGTCACTTACACAGATGGAAAGGAAGGCAAGGGTCCTCTGTCCTCTGTCCTCACCCTGCTGGAGGATTTGGACAGAGAAGGAGATCTCTTCTCAAGGCTTAACAGGATTGGAGTTTTTCCCAAGATAAGACCACATGTAATTAATCATTGGCTCTTTCTACAATAAATCTTGAGTGGGCAGAAACCGGTTTGGCTCAGTGGTAGAACATCGGTCTGCAGACTGAAAGGTCCTGGGTTCGATTCTGGTCAAGGGCATGTACGTTGGCTGCGGGCACATTCCCGGTAGGAGGTGGCTGGTCGATGTTTCTCTCATCGATGTTTCTGGCTCTCTATCTCTCTCTCCCTTCCTCTCTGTAAAAAAATCAATGAAAAATATATTTAAAAATAATAATAATAATAAATAAATAAATCTTGAGTGGGAGGAGATGGCAGATACAAAGATCCCCTACCACTATTGTACCTAGACTAATTTTAGTAAAAGGCGAAAGATTTATGCGATCTGAAGAGAAACCAGAGCATGTACCTAGACTAATTTTACAGTTGAGAAGAGCAGGATTTGTGTGTGTGTGTGTGTGTGTGTGTGTGTGTGTATGTGTGTGTGTGTTTTCCACTGACGAGTCTAAGTGCCTAAGAAAGTATCCGGCACATCATAGGTTGTTCAAGAAATGATTGTTGATACAATCAATGAATGGTACTGAACTGATCCATGGTGCCTCTGTGTGTTTAACACCTGCCTTCTCCCTCCGAGTGCAGTGAGCTCCATGAGGTCAGGAACCCCAGCTGGTTCCCTGGAGCCCTTCCTAGCCCAGGGCCTTGCACTCCCAGGTACTCTGTAAATATTTGTTGAATTAATGAACAAGAGGAAGGAAGAGGGAAATTCGTTGTTGCCCAACTTGGCATGGGGAGGAGATTGTTGAAAGAGCCCCACTGTGATGCAGGCAAAGGGAGGAGAGAGAATGTCTAAGCCCCAAAGCCTTTGGGTGGAACTAAGGCTGCTACAAAAAGGCTGGCATCCTCTGTCACTGGCGGAAGAGGAAGTAATAAGCAGGAAGTGGAGGAGGGATGGGAGAGCTTGCCATGGGGATGGCAGGTCGCAGGCCTGCTCCTGTGGGTGGACCTAGAGGGGTTACCTGGAGGTAAGGACCACTTGTGAACAGGGGATGGGCTTACAAGGCCTGGGTGCTGGGCTCCCGTCTCTGATATGTGGGTGCAAGGTGAGCTTCGTTCTCTACCAGAACTTATTAGGTGCAAAGGTCTGGAGAGCATGTGGGTGTTTGGCTGGAGTGGCTGCCTCCTCTCCAGTCCAGGCTCAGAGAGGGAAAGCACCTGCCACGTGATGTTGAACTGCTATCCCCCACTCCTAGTCCACAGCACTTTCTCACTTATTTATTCTTTTGTTATTCCTCACCCAAGGATATTTTTCCATTGATTTTTTTTAGAGATTGAAAGGGAGGGGGAGAGACAAAGAGAGAGAAACATGGACGTGAGAGAAACACAGTGATTGGTTGCCTCCTGCACACCAACTGGGGCCAGGGACGGAGCCTGCAACCGAGGTGTGTGCCCTCAAACCCTTTAGTCCGCTCCATCCACTAAGCCAAACCAACAAGGACTCTTTTCTCATTTTTCAAAGTGATGCTTCAAGACTTTAAAAAAAAAAAATCTGTAGTAGTGCTACTGAAAGTCTAATGTGGATCTTAATAACCTTAATACCTCGTGCTTCCATTTTGACCCACATTTTGGTGATGCTCCCAAGGCTGAGGGAGGGGGAGAGCCCCACTCTGTCTCACTCCCCATCTCCCAGGTCCCTCCCTCTCGTGCTGTGAGCTAACCGTGCGAAGCTTTGGGGCGGCTCTACCAGGGTAGGCATCACCCCTGCAGTCCTGAGAACTAGAAATCAAGAAGGATCATAACCCAATCTTGAATCACCAGAGAGGCTGCACTTAAGCGCCTTGTGCCTCTCGAAGGGTTATAGCAGTGAGCAATCACTGTTGTCATCAGCATCCTCTGGTTCCTAACACAAATGCATATTACGACACGTGCCGGTTTCAGGTCATTATTTATTAGAAGCAAGAGAGATAATGATAACCATAGGGAGTATGCCTTCAACTGGAACTTGGAGGCCAAGGAGATGAATGCCAAGAGTAGATTTTACCTTGTTCAGAGTTTAGTTCATATGAATTGGGTTCCTATCATGCACTCAGCATTGGGTCTGACACGCTTTGTTTTTTTTTTTTGGTTTTTTTTGGTTATATGCTACTTCCTCAAATCTTCAGAAGAACCCCTTGAGGTGGGTATTATTATCTCTGTTTTGCAAGCCTAGGAAATTGAGGCTCTGACGATTAAGAGGCTTGCATAAGATCCTCGGGCAAGCGGCGGAGCCGGATGGGAACAGGTCTGTCTGACTCTAGGCTCCCAGCTGTAATCAGTCAATCGCGGCAGAAAAGCTGAGGATGAAACTCGGGAGCAGAGAGAGGAGGCTGGCAGGAGGCTGTGGCGCTGAAGGAGGCGCTTGGTGTAAACCTAAGAAGTGGGCTCTTCGCTAGAAAAACAATTCGCCGAGGACCCAGGACGCCAAAGGACAGTCAGATAGGCAGAGTGGAATACAGAAAGGATGAGAAAGACAGAAACACATGGGTGGGGGTGGGGGTGGGATCGAGAGTTCCAGATCAACACTGCATCTCTGCAAATTAGAAACTTGCATCAAAAGCCATTTTGTGCCCTGGCTGGTTTGGCTCAGTGAATAGAGAGTTGGCCTGTGGACTGAAGGGTCCCAGGTTTGATTCTGGTGTGTGTGTGTGGGGGGGGGGGGGGGACATGTGCCTTGGTTGCGGGCACATCCCCAGTGTGTGTGTGTGTGTGTGTGTGTGTGTGCGCGCGCGCGCGTGCGCGCGCAGGAGGCAGCTGATGGATGTTTCTCATCGATGTTTCTAGCTTTCTGTCCTTCTCCCTTCCTCTCTGTAAAAGATCAATGAAATATATATTTTTTAAAACTGTCATTTTGTTGTGGGGCCTTCTGAGAGGCTGCAGGATCTGACTGACTGGACACAACCAAGTTTAGTGGTAGAGACTGCTGGATTGATTCAGTGGGAAAACGGGGCTGTTTCTGAACACAAAGGTGGAGGGAAAGAGACAGAGCAAGAGAATCAGCAAGAAAGAGAGTCTGAGAGAGTGAAACAGGGAAATGGAGCTGTGGAAAGGGGACTGTGGGCACCGGGGAGATCCAGGCACACAAATGGAGGGGGGATCAGGAGGGCGGCAGTGTTAACGCAGAGATGGTGGCTGGGTGTGAGGAGGGGGACTCTATGCTTATTAGCACCGAGCAAACGCCCATCCCCAAATCCTGGATCCGATTAGAAGCCTCTGCTCTCTCCCCTTGATCTCAGCCCCACGCGGAGAGTGTGAGTGCTGAGACCTCCCTTAATGCTATTAGCTAAAGCCGCTTAGGAGGAGAGCAGGATGGGCTGGGGCCTGGGGAGGGCAGGTCCCACCACCTTTTCACTCGGGGAATTCGGAGGGAGGTGCAAGGATAGATGTCTTCTCTTCACAGAGACCCCAGAGCATCTTGTTCCTCCTTCTGCCACAGCCCCCGCACCGGGAGAGCCCAGGCCGAGGGCAGAGCAGACTCCTGACTGATGCTCTGAGGCTGGGAATCTGGCCATCTGAACCCCAGGTCCCTCCCGCAGCTGGGCCGGGGGAGCCAGCACTCCCACCCCCCCTTCTTACTCCTTGGCCCTATACCCCCTCCCAGGCCCCTTCTCACTCTGCTTTGGTAGCCATCCCGCAGTTTCTCCCCAGCTCCCCCTGCCCAGCGCCCACGTCTTTGCAGTCCCCGGGGGCTGTGGGATTTAAAAGGTTTGTGTCAGTCGGTGGAGCAGAAACCTAAACCCAGATGCCCCCTGGCCCACAGGGCAGTTGGAAGTCATGGGGAAAGCACACACCACCTCGGGGATCCAGAGGTTAGGGCGCGGGAAGCAGGGTGTCAGGAGGCCTCTTCCAGCTCCGCACCCGCCCCTTTCCCCGGCCCATCCAGGTCTCTGTTTCGCTTAGTGTGACCTTTCAGGCTTCAGCTCATTTCCTCTTTCATTACAGGCTCTCTCTCCTCTTTCCTCTCGGTCTACCTCTTCCTTTTTCCCCCATTTCCCTCTCTTTTCTCCCCCTTGTCTTGTCCATCTTTTTCTCTCAGTTCCCGTTGGTCTCTCCATTTCTATCTTTACTTCTGTGTCTACAGATCACATGCCACTGGCTCTCTCTGTCTTGCTGTCTCGGTCACTGTCTCTCATTGTTACTTTGTTCCCTTGCCTCTTTCTCCAAGGGGGTCTCTCCCATCCCCCTTCCCCCCTCCCCACTCCCCACCCCCGTCTCTTTTCAATGCTTCAGAGCTGGAAACTGAACCCAGGCTTCCCAGCGTCTGGCCCTGACTCTTTCCGCCCACCTCCCTGCTCCCCACTCTTTCCCTCCCAAAGCCCTCCTCCAGCACCTTGCCCCACCCCCACTCCTGGCAACCTCTGTTGGTTCTTTTCATCTCATTCCCATCAGCTGTGCCCAGGGGATCCCCCGTCTGGATACCCCCTGTCCTTCCCTTTGTCTCTCCCACCCAGAGACAAGAAATCCCCTCCAGCAGGCCCTGGGGTAGTGAGTGAGGAGCCAGGCCGGCCAGAGGAAGTGAAAGCTCCCAGCCAAACGCTGAGCTGGGTGAGCTGGCAGCCAGCGTGAGGCTGAGTAACGGGGACCAGGAACGCAGCAGGCCTGTGGGGCACGGTCACGAGCTGGAGGCCTCTGCGGCCTCCACCCCCAGCCCTCAACCCTGCCTCCACCCCCAGCCTCCACCTCCACCCCAATCTGAACCCAACCCTAACTTCCACTCCCACTAAGTCCCGAGGCTCCATCCACGTGGCCTGGCCCCTCCCCCGACTGAGCCTTGCTCCCCTCAAGCAGGGCCAGGAAGGGGCACCACACTCTCCCTCAGCCCTTCTCTCAGCCATTGGGAAGGGGCTGACGAGAGGAGCGGGACTTCTCTGCCCTCAGAGCCTCCCCTCAGAGCCTCCCCTCAGTGCCTCTCCGGCTTCACACAGCCTGCCTCTGTCTCTCCCCAACTTGGCTGATCAAAGACAGCCAAGCTCTCAGATTCCGGACTTCGTGGTCCTAGTTCTTTGGGAAG